TTCTCAGCACCCACAAAACTATACTTCAGGCTTCAGGTACAAAGTGGTACCTGTCCGAACGTATCTCCTTCTATGTCCCACCTCAGAGTTTAAGATCTTCAGGGGAGGCCCTGCTCTCAGCCCTGCCTCTATCACAAGTGAGGCTGGTGGGGACGAGGGACAGGGCCTTCTCAGTGGTGGCCCCTCACCTGTGGAACTCACTCCCCGGGGAAATTAGGTCATCAACATCCCTCCTCTCCTTCAGAAGGAAACTGAAAACATGGATATGGGACCAGGCTTTTGGGTAATCTGGCAGACTGACAAGGTAATGACGACCAGAATTTGGAAAGGACTATGGTAATGCTGAATGGACTTACGGATATCAGAACTCGGTGAACGTTGGCCACTAGATTGGCGTTTAATTGTTATTGTTTTAATTGATTGTTTTAATTACTGTGGTTATTGCTGTTATGTAATTTATCTGTTGAATTGTTGGCATCAAATTGTGCCGGTGTAAGCCGCCCTGAGTCCCCCCTCAGGTGTTGAGATGGGCGGGGTAGAAGTGCCCGGAATAAATAAATAAATAAATATTTCTAAGCCGTCCAGTATCCTCTACGGTGAGCACTGGGCCTCAACATTCCCCAAAACCCTCCAAAGGCTATGATTTATAACTCCGAATATGTTCAATTTTGAATTTTAGTACTGTTATGTTTAATTCTGATTTAATATTTAATTCTGATTTAATTTGTTTAATTCTGATTTAATATTTGAGAGGTAAAGTGGGGTATAAATAAACATAGACATAATAATAATAATAATAATAATAATTTTCTAGGTCCCTCAAGGTGACTCTATGGAAGTTGATTGTAGAGCACCAAGTCATCCCATAGCATTTCATAAAGAATCGTGGAGTTAATAGTTTTACAAGAATCATTGAGTTTGTAGTTTTACAAGAATTGTAACAGTTATAGTTTTACAGGGATGGAGCTTATAGTTTTGCAAGAATTATGGAGTTTGTAGTTTTACAAGAATCATGGAGTGTATAGTTTTACAAGTATCGTAGCGTTCCTAGTTTTACAAGAATTATGGAGTTTATGGTTTTAAAAGAATCGTGGAGATCGTTCTACAAGAACTGTGGAGTTTATAGTTTTACAAGAAGCGTGGAGTTTATCATTTTACAAGAATTGCAGAGATTATAGTTTGACAAGAATCATGGAGTTTGTAGTTTTACAAGAATTGTAACAGTTATAGTTTTACAGGGATGGAGCTTATAGTTTTGCAAGAATTATGGAGTTTGTAGTTTTACAAGAATCATGGAGTGTATAGTTTTACAAGTATCGTAGCGTTCCTAGTTTTACAAGAATTATGGAGTTTATGGTTTTAAAAGAATCGTGGAGATCGTTTTACAAGAACTGTGGAGTTTATAGTTTTACAAGAAGCGTGGAGTTTATCATTTTACAAGAATTGCAGAGATTATAGTTTGACAAGAATCGTGGAGTTTGTAGTTTTACAAGAGTTGTGACATTTTTTGTTTTACAGGAATAATGGAGCTTATGGTTTTGCAAGAATCATGGAATTTATAGTTTTACCAGAACATGGAGTTTGTAGTTTTCCATGAATCTTGGAGTTTATAATTTTACAAGAATCATAGGGTTTATAGTTTTACAAGAATCATGGTGTTTATAGTTTCACAAGAATAATAGAATTTATAGTTTTACAAGAATCATTGAATGTGTAGTTTTACAAGAATGCGGAGTTTATAGTTTTACAAGAATCGTGAAGTTTATAGTTTTACAAGAATCGTGGTATTTATAGTTTCACAAGAATCATAGAATTTATAGTTTTACAAGAACCATGGAATGTGAAGTTTTACAAGAATGGAGTTTATAGTTTTACAAGAATCATGGAATGTGTAGTTTCACAAGAATCGTGGAGTATATAGTTTTACAAGAATCACAGAGTTTGTCGTCTTATCAGCATTACTGAGTTTATAGTTTTACAAGAATCATAGAGTTTATAGTTTTACAAGAATTGTGGAGTTTATAGTTTTACAAAAATCATGGAATGAGTAGTTTTACAAGAATTGTGGCATTTATAGTTTTACAAGAATCATGGAGTTTATACTTTTACAAGAATCATGGAGTTTATACTTTTACAAGAATCATGGAGTTTGTAGTTTTACAAGAATTGTGACATCTATAGTTTTACAGGAATAATGGAGCTTATAGTTTTACAAGAATCACCGAGTTTGTAGTTTTACCAGCATCACGTAATTTATAGTTTTACAAGAATTATGGTATTTATAGTTTTACAAGAATCATGGAATGTGTAGTTTTGCAAAAATTTTAGAGTTTGTAGTTTTACAAGAATCAAGGAGTTTATAGTTTTACAAGAATTGTGGAGTTTATAGTTTTACAAGAATCGTGGAGCTTATAGTTTTACAAAAATAATGGAATGTGTAGTTTTACAAGAATAATGGAGTTTATAGTTTTACAAGAGTTGTGACATTTTTTGTTTTACAGGAATAATGGAGCTTATGGTTTTGCAAGAATCATGGAATTTATAGTTTTACCAGAACATGGAGTTTGTAGTTTTCCATGAATCTTGGAGTTTATAATTTTACAAGAATCATAGGGTTTATAGTTTTACAAGAATCATGGTGTTTATAGTTTCACAAGAATAATAGAATTTATAGTTTTACAAGAATCACTGAATGTGTAGTTTTACAAGAATGCGGAGTTTATAGTTTTACAAGAATCGTGAAGTTTATAGTTTTACAAGAATCGTGGTATTTATAGTTTCACAAGAATCATAGAATTTATAGTTTTACAAGAACCATGGAATGTGAAGTTTTACAAGAATGGAGTTTATAGTTTTACAAGAATCATGGAATGTGTAGTTTCACAAGAATCGTGGAGTATATAGTTTTACAAGAATCACAGAGTTTGTCGTCTTATCAGCATTACTGAGTTTATAGTTTTACAAGAATCATAGAGTTTATAGTTTTACAAGAATTGTGGAGTTTATAGTTTTACAAAAATCATGGAATGAGTAGTTTTACAAGAATTGTGGCATTTATAGTTTTACAAGAATCATGGAGTTTATACTTTTACAAGAATCATGGAGTTTATACTTTTACAAGAATCATGGAGTTTGTAGTTTTACAAGAATTGTGACATCTATAGTTTTACAGGAATAATGGAGCTTATAGTTTTACAAGAATCACCGAGTTTGTAGTTTTACCAGCATCACGTAATTTATAGTTTTACAAGAATTATGGTATTTATAGTTTTACAAGAATCATGGAATGTGTAGTTTTGCAAAAATTTTAGAGTTTGTAGTTTTACAAGAATCAAGGAGTTTATAGTTTTACAAGAATTGTGGAGTTTATAGTTTTACAAGAATCGTGGAGCTTATAGTTTTACAAAAATAATGGAATGTGTAGTTTTACAAGAATAATGGAGTTTATAGTTTTACAAGAACCATGGAATGTGTAGTTTTACAAGAGTAATGGAGTTTATAGTTTTACAAGAATCACAGAGTTTATAGTTTTACAAGAATCATGGAATGTGTAGTTTTACAAGAATCGCAGAGTTTATAGTTTTACAAGAATCATGGAATGTGTAGTTTTACAAGAATCATGGAGTTTATAGTTTTACAAGAATCGCGGAGTTTATAGTTTTACAAGAATTGTGGAGTTTGTAGTTTTACAAGAATAATAGAATTTATAGTTTTACAAGAATCGTGGAGTTTATAGTTTCACAAGGTCTTTAGCCTTCTCCGGCTGAAGAATAGTACCTCGCCAAACTACAGCTCCCAGCATCCCATATCATGGAGCCAGGACAGTTCAAGCAGGGTCAATACTGCATTCACCCTACAGTGTAGGCGCACTGTTATGAGAAACTACCCCTCTGTTCTGCTTTGGTTAGACCACACCTGGAATATTGTGTCCAATTCTGGGCACCACAATTCAAGAGAGATATTGACAAGCTGGAATGTGTCCAGAGGAGGGCGACTAAAATGATCAAGGGTCTGGAGAACAAGCCCTATGAGGAGCGCTTAAGGAGCTGGGCATGTTTAGCCTGAAGAAGAGAAGGCTGAGAGGGGATATGATAGCCATGTATAAATATGTGAGAGGAAGTCACAGGGAGGAGGGAGCAAGCTTGTTTTCTGCTTCCTTGGAGACTAGGACGCAATGGAACAATGGCTTCAAACTACAAGAAAGGAGATTCCATCTGAACATGAGGAAGAACTTCCTGACTGTGAGAGCTGTTCAGCAGTGGAACTCTCTGCCTTGGAGTGTGGTGGAGGCTCATTCTTTGAAGGCTTTTAAACAGGCTGGAAGGCCATCTGTCAGGGGTGATTTGAATGCAATATTCCTGCTTCTTGGCAGGGGGTTGGACTGGATGGCCCATGAGGTCTCTTCCAACTCTTTGATTCTATGATATTCTATGATTCTATGGGTTGCATGGTGCCAGGGGTCCACTGCAGGCGCGAGGGGGCGCTGTTGAGACACACCATTCCCCGAGTGGAGAGGAGAACAATGCTTCCAAAGGTCCCTGTCTTGTTTTGGTTTGCAATGGCCAAGAAGAGGGGGAAAGTCTCCTTCTCTGTGTCTTGCCTTCAAACACACACACATTCCTTCCCTTTTCTCCCCAGAACCCTATTCCTTCCCAAGATCTGGGATGTGGGTCTCTACCTAGACCAAAATCCAAGGAAAACAAGGCTTTCATTGAGCGCCTTCCCCGACTTCCACCGCAAGCCCTTTCCAGCCAAGCTCCCCAGAGCTTTCCCCCTTTCCGACCCCAATGTTGACCAAAGCTGTCCCTTGCCTTCCTTGGAGATGCATCATAGGGGAGGGGTGCCCCCCAGAAGCGGGGCGATCGCGGGATAGAGACCCGGCATCTCCTTCCTTCGGGCCAACAGGTTTCCAAGACCCCTCCATCATCACGAGCATCACGAGCATCTTCCTCTTCTCTCTCTCCCCCCCAAAAAAACCCCATTCCACCCCCTTTCTTTACCTGTCGGGTCGGGTCTTGCCTTTGGCTCCCAATGGGGTGGGCTTAGGGGGGGCCCAGCGCCTCAGCCTCGGCAGCCGGTGCCCGCTTGGTGGAGCGCCTTCCCATCTTCCTCCTCCTCCTCCTCCTCTTCCTCCTGGAAGGGGAGGAGGGAAGGAGGAAGAGCCAGAGCAGAGCCTCCTCCCTCCAGAAGAAGCAGGAGCACAGCCAAGGCTCAAGCCACCCCAAAGCAAGGGGGCTGGGGGCTGGGTCAATCCATCCACCAGGCAAACTGGCACCCCAAAACTCCCACTTGAGATCAGAAATGGAAATATACTCCAGTTTGATCCACCCTGAGCATCCACTCTCCTTGGTTCTGTTCCATTATCCAAGCGGAGGCCACATGGAGGCGCTAGAGCAGGCACAGGCCAACTTGGGCCCTCCCTCCAGGTGTTTTGGACTTACTTACTTATTTATTTATTTATTTAGTATTTACTATAGTTATATAACGCCCTTCTCAGCCCAGAGCCCCCGGTGGCACAGTGGGTTAAACCCCTGTGCCAGCAGGACTGAAGACCAACAGGTCGCTGGTTCGAATCCGGGGAGAGCACGGATGAGCTCCCTCTGTCAGCTCCAGCTCCTCATGCGGCGTCATGAGAGAAGCCTCCCACAAAGATTTTTTTTTGTTGTTGTTGTTGTGGTGTGCTTTCAAGTCGTTTCAGACTTAAGTTGACCCTGAGTGAGGGCCAGGTAAATGACCTTGCAGGGCCGTATCTGGCCCCCGAGCCTTAGTTTGAGGACCCCTGTCCTAGGTGGTTCATATGGAGAAGTTGGACCGAAACCGTGTAGGGCTTTATAGGTTAAAGCCAATACTTTGAACTGTGCCCGGAAGCAAACAGGCAGCCGGTGGAGCTGGCGCAACAGAGGAGTTGTGATCTCCCTGAGCGCTGCTCCTGTTAGCAACCTGGCTGCTGCTCATTGGACCATTTGCAGCTTCCAAACAGTCTTCGAAGGCAACCCCATGTAGAGAGTGCTGCAGTAGTCTATATAGGATGTAACCAGAGCGTGGACTACCATGGCCAAGTCAGATTTCCCAAAGTACGGGTGTAGCTGGCACACAAGTTTTAACTGTGCAAATGCTCCCCTAGTCACTGCAGAGACCTGGTGCTCCAGGCTCAGCGATGAATCCAGGATTACACCCAAGCTGCGAACCTGTGCCTTCAGGGGGATTGTAACCCCATCAAGCACAGGCTGTAACCCTATGCCCTGTTCAGCATAGGGTTACAGCCTATAGTGGGACTTCAACTCCCACCATTCCTAACAGCCTCAGGCCCCTTCCTTTTCCCTCCAGCCGCTTAAGCCCTAGAAAGAGAGAGCTAACATCTGTCAGGGATGATTTAATTGGGCTTGAACCCTCACTCATATTACGTCTACACTAAGCATGGGCAAACTTGGGCCCTCCAGGTGTTTTGGACTTCAACTCTCACCATTCCTAACATCTTCAGCCGCCCCCCCCCCTCAGCCACTTAAGCCCTAGAAAGAGAGAGCTAACATCTGTCGGGGATGCTTTAATTGGGCTTGAACCCTCACTCAAGTCTACAACAAGCATGGGCAAACTTGGAGTTCGACTCCCACCATTCCTAACAGTATAAGGCCCTTTCCTTTCCCCCCTCAGAGGATGGGGGGGGGGGGGGGGAAAGGGCCAGAGGCTGTTAGGAATGGTGGGAGTTGCAGTCCAAAACACCTGGAGGGAGAGCCAAAGTTTGCCCACGCCTGCACTAGAGAAAGAAAGATAGTCTATTTTACATGGATGGATGAAGAGTGGGTTCTTCGTGTAGCATCCTCCAGGCCCTTCCAGACAGACCCAATATCCCAGGATCTGATCCCAGGATTTTCTGCTCTAGACTGGATTATATGAGTCTGCACTGCCAGATAATCCGGGATAGACTCAAAACTTGGGATCATATCCTTCTTTCTCTTGCGCCCCCTTATGGTCTCCGCCGGGATAATTGAACAGTATCAAAGTACTGGGGGTTGCAAGAGGGTTTCAGAGGGGTATTTCTGATAGTCTCAGGAACCCCTTTGGCAAGCCGCTTTGGTCGCTTCTGGAGTGAGAGAATCAGGGATGGAGAGCTTCATCTATGCTGACGATCGTGCCATCACCACCCAAGCAGGGAGCTTTGAGATGGTTGAACAGAAGCTCTCTGAAGTTCTAGTTGCTCTTACTGCCTATTACAGGGAAAACCAACTGATCCTAATCCATCTAAAACACAGACATGTGCCTTTCACCTTAAGAACAGACAAGCATCCCGAGCTCTGAGGATTACCTGGGAAGGAATCCCACTGGAGCATTGCAGCGCACCCAAGTACCTGGGAGTCACTCTGGACCGTGCTCTGACCTACAAGAAGCACTGCCTGAACATCAAGCAAAAAGTGGGTGCTAGAAACAATATCATACGAAAGCTGACTGGCACAACCTGGGGATCACAACCAGACACAGTGAAGACATCTGCCTTGCGCTATGCTACTCTGCTGCTGAGTACGCATGCCCAGTGTGGAACACATCTCACCACACTAAAACAGTGGATGTGGCTCTTAATGAGACATGCCGCATTATCACGGGGTGTCTGTGCCCTACACCACTGGAGAAATTACACTGCTTAGCCGGTATTGCACCACCTGACATCCACCGGGAAATAGCAGCCAATAGTGAAAGGACCAAGGCAGAGACATCTCCAGCTCATCCCCTGTTTGGGTATCAGCCAGCACGTCCACGACTTAAATCAAGAAATAGTTTTCTAAGATCTACAGAGACACTCGCTGGAACACCTCAGCAAGCGAGAGTCCAAAAGTGGCACCTCAACCAATGCACCTCAACCAATGGCTGATACCGAATGAGAGACTCCCCCCTGGGCACACAGAAGACAGGGCAACTTGGAAGGCGTTGAACAGACTGCGCTCTGGCACCACGAGATGCAGAGCCAACCTTCAGAAATGGGGCCACAGTGGAATCCACGACATGCGAGTGCGGAGAAGAGCAAACCACTGACCACCTGCTGCAATGCAACCTGAGCCCTGCCACATGCACAATGGAGGACCTTCTTGCAGCAACACCAGAGGCACTCCAAGTGGCCAGCTACTGGGCAAAGGACATCTAATCAACTACCAAGCTTGCAAACTTTGTGTTTTGTTTGTTTGTTTGCTTGTTAAAAATGCAGTACAACTGTTTGGTTTGCTCCTGACACGGTAAATAAATAACCCCTTTGGCAGAGAAGGCTGAAGATCTCCCTGCCTGTCCTTCTCTTCCTTTTTGGAAACAGGGAATCCTCCCATTAAAAGCCCTCCTCGGCTATGATTGGCAGGCCTCTCAGCCAAGGGGAGGGCTGTTCTGAGACTCCAAACAGGGAGGGGAGAGCAGGTGTGCTTGGCACATGGCAGTGTGGTGCACATGTGCAGGCGAGGGAGAGTGTGTGATGTGGAAAGGGAGGTTCATGCCAGCAAGTACCTTCAAAGCATGGGAGTTCTATGTGTGAAGTTTGGCCCAATTCCATCATTGGTGGCGTTCAGAATGCTCTTTGATTGGAGCTGAACTATAAATCCCAGCAACTACAACTCCCACATGACAAAATCAACTCCACCCCCAATCCCACCAGTATTCAAATTTGAGTGTATTGTGTATTTGTGCCAAATGTGATTCAGTGAAATGTGGTCCAGTCCATTTACATCACAATTCATAACAGTAGCAAAATTATAGTTATGAAGTAGCATCAAAAATAATGTTATCGTTGCGGGTCACCACAAATTGAGGAACTGTATTAAGGGGTCGTGGCGTTAGGAAAGTTGAGAAACACTGCTCTAGTGTGAAGTGGTAATATAAGTCAAGGTGTCCGTGTATTTGGGGAGAAGGGATGCTCAAGCTGGATCACACTAATGGTCTTGTTCCATTATCTCGGCGGAGGCCACAAGGGGGTGCTAGAGAGAGAAGGATAGGCTATTATAGAGGGATAGAGGGTGGGTTGAAGAAAAGGAAAACCATTTTCCCCAGGCCATTCCTGATAAGCCCTACATCCCAGGATCCAATCCCAGGTTTTCTGCTCTAGACTGGATTATATGAGTCCACACTGCCAGATAATCTGGGATAACTTTATTCTTGTATCCCACCACCATCTGCCTGAAGGTATTCTGGGCGGCTTACGCACGGCACAAACTGCCTAAAAACAGAACGTAAAATGAAAACAATTATAAAATACCATTAAAAACAAATGGACATATAAACAACTAACACTCAATTAAAAACAGTGCTTGTTTATTATGATATTGGAAGGGAGGAAGGAGAATGACTAGTGAAAATGGGAAAATGGTTCTCCTTCCTCTAAAATGGACTATCCTTCTCTCTCTACCGCCCCCTTGTGGCCTCCGCCCAGATAATGGAACAGTACCAAAGTGGATCGATAATCTAGTGTGAAGAGGTAATATAAATCAAGGTATCACAGTCAAGCAGATAATGTGGATTCAGAAGCTGGATTATGTGCCAGTGTAGACTCATATAATCCAGTTCAAAGCAGATAACCTGGATTCAGAAACTGGATTATATGACAGTGTAGACGTACATAATCCAGTTCAAAGCAGATAATTGGGATTCAGAATCTGGATGATATGACAATGTAGACTCATTTAATTCAGTTAAAAACAGATAGCCTGGATTCAGAACCTGGATTATATGACAGTGTAGACTCATATAATCTGGTTCAAATAAAATAATCTGGATTCAGAAACTGGACTATATGGCAGTGTAGACTCATATTATTAATCCAAATCAGACAATCTGGATTCAGAAACTGGATTATATGGCAGTGTAGACTCATATCATCCAGTTCAAAGCAGACAATCTGGATTCAGAAACTGGATTATATATCAGTGTAGATTCATATAATCCATTTCAAAGCAGATAATTAGGTTTCAGAATCTGGATGATATGACAATGTAGACTCATTTAATCCAGTTAAAAACAGTCTGGATTCAGAAACTGGATTATAAACCAGTGTAGACTTAACTCACATAATCCAGTCCAAAGTAGATAATCTGGATTCAGAAACTGGATTACATGCCAGTGTAGACTCATATAATCCAGTTCAAAGCAGATAATCTGGATTCATAAACTGGATTAT